TGAATCGTAAAATGTAAAGCAGGATGCTCGACGACACCGTCGTTTCTCTTCATTCCGGGGGGAAAACGCGCGCATCGGCGTCCGTAACGCTGTTTATATTAACGTTAGCATCCGAGCTGCCCCCGTAGCGGTTCGGGTGCGCACGCGAGCTGATGTTACACCCTCGGCGTGCGTTACCGCTGAAATTAAATCCGCCGCTAATTAGCGGCATTATCGGGCAACGATATCAGGCGGTATCGGTTACCGGCGACGGCGGTGGCGGTGCGCGAAAAATATCGAAACAAGAAGCCGCGTTTCCGCGCGCCCGACGGATCTTCTCCGATGGAAAAGCGCGGGGGGAGGGGCAGATTTTTGTTTCAACGCGAGCGCCGCTTCCGGGTACGCCTCGCGTCGTTCGAGATAAATGTTTACTTAATGTTTACTTAATAATACACGGGCCATCAGCGTTCGTCCGCGACGCAGCCGCTGTCGGGGTAAGGATTATTTGTTGGAATTGCGCTAATCTACGGGGATCATTACCCGGCGGGTACGCGATAATCCGCCGCGTCCATGAAGCCGGAAACTTATAATTGACAGTTTCGAGTTCCATCTGGTTGAACCCCTAATTGTCCGCCGGTAATTATCTGGAAATACTATGAATTTGCGAATTTATCACGAATTTATCCAAAATTCCGACGATCGGGAATGCAGCCGATCGCCGTTGCGCGGAATATCGCAGAGATCCCGAGTGCTCGGGATTTTAGTAAGAAGGAAAAAGAGAAAAAAAGAAGAAGGACAAATAAGCGAGCGCGATACGCCGGCGTCGAATTGCAATCGTCGTTTTCGTCTCCGAGGAAATACTGAAAATTGGCGCAGCCGGACGTGCTTCTTCGCGGGATTGTCGTTTTGACGGGCCGATGATTGATTTAAATCGCACGGACGAACGTTATCGTGCGTTGAGACCCGGCAATTAACTCGAATTCGTTCGGATGACGATCGGAGGTGCACAACAGCTTCGTCGATACTTCGAAAGCTTTTTCAAATAAGTCGGTTACGCACGTAACACGCTCCGTTGCGTATCCGTCGCGCGAGACGCTCGATTTCTCTCCCGTATATCTTTGCATATTTAAATATTCACGAAAAGATTAATAATTAATTACGGGGGCGGGCGAGTGCGTGCGGAGAAAGGAGAAAACATGAAACAACTGCGCTGTTTCTCGGTAGGGAATTCAGTTCGGGAAAGGTTGAGGGAAAAATCCGCGTCTCCTTATCTTGTTGCGCCTTTAATATCGATTATGATTAATAACGGCACACGTGGATAAATAATAACGCGAGAAGGAGAGAAATAAAATCACACACACACACACACATACACACACACATACACACGCACGCATGTCGGCTCGGGATTGCTTATCTGAGCCCAAGCAGGAAAATGTTGTAAAAATCGCCGCCAATCGTGCACGCGGAATACAATTTATGAATAAGTCGAGTCGCCGAGCGGGAAGGAAAATACAGCTGCATACTATCGATTTCATTGAAGTCCTGCCTCCCGAGTAACCGAGGCCTTTTTCATCTGAAAGGAACGATTTAGCAAATATTGACTCGCTGGGGGAGGGAAGGAGGGGAGAGGTTCGTCTTGCCGGCGGAAGGCCGGCTCTCTTATAAAAGAGCGGATCGGACTAAACGATCGATATTCGTCTCATTCATACTCGGAACGTGTCCCTCGTTCGTCCGACGTTTACCGGCAGCCATTCATTTCCGCCGAGATTCGGGTATTAACTCGATTAACCGTCTTATCGGGGGAGGGGAGGGAGGAGGGGAGGGATATCGGGACCTGCGAAACTCGTTCGGCGGTGTTACTTTCTACTCGCGCGCTTCGCTCGCGTTTATCTTCGAGGGGAACCACTTTCCTCGCCCACGTCGTCGTCGTCGCACGCGGAAATACGCTCGGAGCGTAAAATGAAACGGGCGTAACGACGAGCGTTGTTCTTTCGTTTTCATTTCTTCGGGGAAACACTCGGCCGAAAACTCCGGAATTAACTCCAGCCGTCGTGGCGGCTCCGATTCGGTAATGAGAAATACGTGGCGTTTCTGATGGATGGTCTGATGTGTTCTCGTCATAATAGAATTCTGTGCTGTTAATGTGCGTTTGTTGTTGCTCGCTCACTTTCAACTCTGACCTTACTCGTCACTTCTGCCGTGTCTGCTTCGTTCGATTCCGGATTCCCTCCAACTTCATCCTGCGTGCTCATTCTTCACGTAGTTTTCAGATAGTCTCTGAACGATAAATCCAATTTAATTTAATATAATCTAATCTTTTCACGCGTGTGCGTGCGATACAAAATTTAACAGAGCTGTGTTTAGTTCCTCTCCAGTTTTTCCGCAGCTTCGATACATCGATGAAATGCTTGTAACTGATTGAGTCTAATAAAA